TGAAATGGAAGAATTAAATTTTCAACCAGAATTAGTTGAGCTTCGTTGTATAAAATTCATCGGTGGGAAGGGGTGGGGAGAGGGATGTATGAGGATTTTCGAAGAATATTATTTTTTCACTTGCTAATAACACGAAAACTAGTTTGGCTTTTTGAATATGGAACGTTTCATTATACTGGAAGCGATTTAATAATAAATTTATTTTTAGTTTATCGATTTTCACGATACCTCGAGTTATAAAATAAAAGTGACCAGTGTTTGTTGCATGAAAAAGTTAAAAATATATTTCTCGAGAGTGTTTTATATATATACTTAACTCGAATTAAAATAGAAATCATAGTTTCGAATATGGAGAATTTAACAATGTTCGAATGAAAACGAATCAGTTATACTCGTTAATTTTAAAAAAAAAAAAATTAACATAAGATATAATACAACGATAAAGATGCAATTCTTTTTTTCTTTTTAATATCTTTCATTATCAACATGCGTCGAGAGGATACGAATCGATCTCTTTTGAAAAAATAAAAAAAATAAAAAAAAGAAAAAGAAAGGCTGACTAAATCTCGAAAAGATAAATATATCCAGCTTAGAAAGGAGCTTAGCATCCCGAATAGAATTAATGAGAAGAATCAATATTGTTGATAAAATATGAATATGCAATCTTCAAAGATGATCTCTTGGCAATTCTGTATCACGAAAAAAGTAGGTTGAATAATTTAAAGAGAGGCATAAAGGAGTTATTCTGTTCTGTGTAATTTTATTGATCTTCTGAATCACGAAAGATTGCATCCAACAATATATCCAAAAAACGTAATTAAAAGAAAAATGTAAAATTTTAAAAAATTAAATTTAAATTTTATATTATAAAAATGATAAATATATTACAAAAAAATAGAATAAAAAAATTCCAATTTTTGGCTAGTTTTTGCAATGCTTATTAATCTTCGGTTCAATCGAACCAGATCACTTTTGATCCGTTCCATTTCTCGCTGCAAAAATGAGATTTAGTACTTACAAACCTCGAATATGGATCAAAAATAACTAACATCATTTTTCGATCGACGATACGAAGTTTAAATACATTTATAATCTTCCAAGACGATAATATTCTAAACAATCGAATTTCATTAAATATATTAAAAATAGAATAGCAAAATTTCAATTTGAATTCTGTCTGTCAAAAATATCTTTATACTTTTTTTTTTTTTTCAAGAACATAACAAAACTTGAAATTTTCTCCCACATGTTTTATTAAACATCTCCAATATATTCTTCTTCTTCTTTTTCTTCTTCTTCTTCTCTCAAGAATTAAATAATTCCATATCTTTGTTTCTAAGAAATAAAACTTTGGGGATAAGTTTTACGAGAAAAAAAAAAAAGATTCCTTATACCGTTAGCAACTCTCTTACACGAGAAATATGGCGAGTTTTCCGGGAAGATATGTCGCCACGTAATGCAGTTTGCAAGAATCCTGGCTTACGTAAGTACGTCCCAGGAACGATAGGGATGGAGAGAAACAAAGCAACGTCGAAGGTCCATTAAAGGAGCCATAAGAGGGGAGACTAGCCGCAAAGGAACGAGAACGCATTCTTCTCGATTCGAGAACGGAATCCTCCCTCGAAAATCCTCCGAGGAAAAATATTCTTTCACGCGGGAACTGGTGTATTTATTTCTCTCTCCGTTGAGAGAAATAAATAATTGAGACTCGAAGCACTCGACGAAAACTTTCTAAACAAAATCGTAGTTAAAAAAAAAAAAGAAAAAAAAGAAAAAAAATCGGGAAGGGTTAAAAAAAAAAAAAAAAA